TATATACACTATTTACATTATTCGGACTATTGTTCTCATCTTTGTCGCCATATTTATTACAACGTTTTGGCCTTTCAGTATCTGTCTATATTTCTGAGATGTGGTATTATGTACAATATTTACATTATTCGGACTATTGTCCTCATCTTTGTCGCCATATTTATCACAACGTTTTGGTATTTCAGTATCTGTCTATATATCTGAGATGAGGTATTATGTACACTATTTACATTATTCGGACCATTGTCCTCATTTTGTCGCCATATTTATTACAAAGTTTCGGCCGTTGTACGCTCCGCCCTTCTTCAGGGGGTTGGAATGTCGAACTGAACCCTTTATTTCGCTCACTGGGGTAGACTGTTCTAGTTACATGTGCCATATCTAATGGAAGTCAGTTATCTCGAAACTGCCATAAACTTTCATTATTTTTTTTTTTTTTCATCCCAAACAAGTCGTAAAGCCGCTAAGACGCATAGAGATTACAGAGAGTTTGGTTTAGTTTGTTTTGTTTTACGGCTTATCAACCTCAATGAGTTATTTAATGCCGACAAAATTTTTAATGTTGCTAAGATTTTTTTCAAAAATCTCTTTCTGGTAATATTTTTCCTTCAAAAAATCTATTTTTGGTAATATTTCTTCTACATTGAATCTATTTCAGTTAATATTTTCTTCATATATATATATATATATATATATATATATATATATATATATATATATATCGCTGATAATATTTTTTTCAAAAATGTATAGCTGGTAATATTTTTTTTTCTAAAAATCATCGCTTGTTATAAATATTTATACAAAGTATTTCTGTTATTAAAACCTATTTTTACAATTTCATAGTATTTTGACCTCAGTTTGGGGGTTAACTATTTGCCCATAGCTGAGACCCTAGCAACTACTACCACCCCGGGTCAGTGTGGACCTGGGAACACTATCAATTAAGAGGTGATTCCATGCTCCTCAAAACCTCCTGATCAGAGGCCTTGCTGCCGGATGTAGTTTATCGTCTTACCCAGGACGCAGATGTACTCTATGATCATACCGAAGACGAATTACAGAGAGTGACAGAAAATAAGAAAACGTTTATTTGACGAGAAAGGATAATAAAAGAGGATTAAATAAAAGATAGATGACATTTGACATTGTATTTAAAATTAAGATCATAGTTGTCAGGAAAAGATGAAGTCGGAGGAGATTTCCACAGACGAGATGTCCGTGAGAAATACAGGTTAATATTAACATGAGACCATGCTGCCAATCTACAGGATGTCCAATAAAAAAGCGGGGAAAAATTATTATCACTGTTTTATTTTTCAGGAACAATTGACCTTGAATAACCTTGAATAAATTTCTTGAATATTCATGACCTTGAATAATCATTCGACTCTTACGTAATTACTTAACTCTTAACTTTAAATCCATCTACTCGAGGTACGAAAGAGGAAAGCTCACCAGTTCTATGAAGATATTTATAGTAATGGCAATGGAATGATACGTTACGGTGGTGAGAAATTGGGAGCAGCAGAAATGCCAGATCAGGACTGATAACATTGCAGAGTCTTCTTGAACTTTGTTAAGAAAATCCCTAGATACATAGCAGAAGCACCAGACCAGGTGTGGCAACAGTATTTACTACATGGACGATGGTAGACTTATTAATATCTAGGATGGGTTATGGGATGAACAATTGTCTAGCACGAAAGATAGTGGAGTGGTTTCCCACTCAGCAAAGTAGCTAGAGCCGCGCGCCCCACCCCAGGCGGTACTATAAGCCTGTATTGAAATAATAGTGGTTTTAATGTCGGGGCAATACTCACCGTTGAAGGATTTTTTCCATTTCGAGTAACTTAAACTGTGACATATATACTAGTCTATCAACTGTCTGCGACAATTGACAGCTGAAATACTATTTGACGATATCATTGAAGAATTTGCCAATAAAAAAGCAAGCAAAATTACTTTGTAGAAAGTTGTAACTTTTCATTCCAGAAATAAAGATGCTCGTAATTTTTACGCTTTTTTCTCTATATGTCTTTTTCGATTTTTAACTGTTACTGGTAAATTTTAAGTATGTTTAGTGTAATTTTAAAGCATTTAGAGATACATTACCTATGGTTTATTTTTTTGTTTTCTTTTCTTTTATGTCATATCAACCTCACTGGATTATTTAATACCGACAATTTTTTTTATTGCTGGTAATATTTTTTATTTTCAAAAATGTATTGTTACTAATTTTTTTCTTCAAAAATATATTGTTGGTAATATTTTTTTTCAAAAATCTATTGCTAGTAATATTTTTTTCTTCAAGAATGTATTGCTGATAATATTTTTTATTTTCAAAAATGTATTGCTCGTAAATGTTTTTCTTCAAAAATGGATTTCTGATAATATTTTTTCTCCAAAAATGTATTGCTGGTAATATTTTTTATTTTCAAAAATGTATTACTGGTAATATTTTTTTCTCCAAAAATATATTGCTGGTAATATTTTTTTCTCCAAAAATATATTGCTGGTAATATTTTTTTCTCCAAAAATGTATTGCTGGTAATATTTTTTCTCCAAAAATATATTGCTGGTAATATTTTTTCTTTTCAAAAATGTATTGCTGGTAATTTTCTTCTTCAAAAATCAATTGCTGGTGATAATCATTTACAAAAATCAATTGCTAGTGGTATTACAACCTATTTTTACACTTTCAAAGTATTTTGACTCCATTTCGGGGGTTAACTATTTGCCCATACTTGGAACCCTAACAGGTGCTACAACTCCGGGTCAGGGTGAACCTGGGAACATCAGCAATTAAGAGGTGGTTCCATGCTCCTCAAAACCTCCTGATCAAAGGCTTTGCTGTCGGATGAAGTTTATCCTCATACCCAGGATGGACATTACCTATGATCGAGCACAGGAGATACCTCAGTTTGTACCTAGGGAGCCGTTATGGGAACGAAAGAATGACACAAGAAAGAAAAATGGGGTCAGGAAGAGAAATGAATGAAAGATATGAACACTTCAAAAATCTTGAAAGAAAGTTAGAGAACGAAGTCCAAGAAAAGAACAAGTGAATGAAAAAATAAATGAACGATGGAAAATAAACAAACAAAAATTAAAAAGTAAAAGAAATGTATCAAAGAAACTGAAAGAGAAAAATATGAAAGAAAAGGAGAAGATGAGCTTTCAGGAGATATTTGATACTTGAATTTGATATATATATCATCTTAGCTCGACTCTGTGAAATATATTGGCTTGTAGCTTGGAGATATCTTATATAATTAAACCTCGGGATGTATAATATCTAAGCTTGAATCTGACAGAGAAAACATCTAAACTAAACACGGTTTATCTCGGCGTGAACCTAAGGATACGGTACCTGAACTTGAAGCTCCAAGATATCTAACACTAAACATATGATGTATATTATCTGAACGCTAATGAAACAGATTTTCTAAACTCAACTGTGGGAATATGTTATCTCAACTTGAATCTTGGAGGTCCAATATTTCAAGCGAGGCGATATACGACACCAGCTTGAACCTGGGTAATGCAGTGTCTGTTTCTAAACTTGGAAGATACGATGTCTGAGCCTGAACATAACAGATACAGTATCTGAACCTGAGTCGGGGGGATACAGTGTCTGAGCCTGAACCTGGGTGTTACAGTGAATGAGCCTGAACATGGTAGATACAGTGTTTGAGCTTGAACCTGGGTGATACAGTGTCTGAGTCTAAACCTTGGAGATACAATGTCTGAGCCCGAACCTAATAGATACAGTGTCTGATCCTGGAGAGATACAGTCCGAGCATGAACATGGGAGATACATTGAATGAGCTTGAACCTGATAGCTACAGAGCCTAAGCCTGAGCCGGGGATATACAGTGTCTGAGCCTAAACCAGGGAGATATAGTAGCTAAGCCTGAACCTGAAAAATACAATGTTTGAGCCTGATCCTGGGAGATACAGTATCTGAATTGAACCTGAAAGGTACAGTATCTGAGCCTGAACCTGGGATATACAGTGTCTGAGCCTAATCCTGGGAGATACAGTATCTGAATTGAACCTGAAAGGTACAGTATCTGAGCCTGAACCTGGGATATACAATGTCAGAGCCTGATCCTGGGAGATACAGTATCTGAAAGGTACAGTATCTGAGCCAAAACATGGGATATACAGTGTCTGATCCTGATCCTGGGAGATATAGTATCTGAATTGAACCTGAAAGGTACAGTATCTGAGCCTGAACCTGGGATATACAAGTGTCGGATCCTGATCCTGGGAGATACAGTATCTGCATTGAACCTGAAAGGTACAGTATCTGAGCCTGAACCTGGGATATACAGTGTCTGAGCCTGATCCTGATCCTGGGAGATACAGTATCTGTATCGAATTTGCGAGTTATATTATTGTAAACTCGAAACTGGGTGATATCTTTTTAATAGAACACGGGAGATCAATTATCTTATCCAAAATATTTATAATAAATTATCTAAGCTCTAATATGTACCTGCATTATCTAATACCTTACTTAGAAAATAGATTATCTATGTTGGGAGGATAGATCATATAAACTTGAAACTGAGAGGCAAATTAGAAAAATAAAAGTGATCGTAATTTTCATTATAGCCAAATTATTAAGCAAATTAGAAATAATTAATGTCAACATTGAATTGTCTTTCTTTAGAAATTGGGTTCGCGAAAACAACTTTATCCTGGTTGGAAGTTTTTAAACTCTCACTGACCAGTCATATCAAACTGACGTCCTGCGTTTAATAAGACATTTATAACATTCTAAACGGTAAACAATTATACTTGCGCCGGTAATTTGTAATATGTTTGGGCTTGCTATTAAATATAAACTGCTTTTTGCCATCGACGATGACGCACAGTTCGTCTCATCGCTAATCTTAAAGTATTGTCAGTTTACGCGAGAGGGAGCGGAAACACACACACACACGCAAAATGAATTATGGGAAAGAATGTACCAACAAAGAAAAAGGGAGTCAGGAAGAAAAATGAATGATACATGAAGAATTGAAAGAAAGGCGGGAAATGAAAGAAATGCAAGGAAATAAAAGGGGGGGAGGTGGAGAGAATGAGAAAATAAATAAAGAAAAAGTAAGAAAAATAATGTATGAAGAAATGGGAGTGAAAAAATAAATAGTGAATGAAGGGGAATTAATGAAAGTGAAGAAGAAGAACAAAAAAAGGAAAAATAAATGGTGAATGAAAGTAAAAAATGAACGAAGGAAGAAAAGGAAAAATGAAAAGTGAATGAAGGTGAATGAAAGTGAAAAAGAACGAATGAAAGGAAAACAAAATAACCTGGGAACGAAGGTGAATGAAAGTGAAAAAGAACGAATGAAATAAAGGAAAAATAAATAGTGAATGAAGGTGAATGAAAGTGAAAAAAGAACGAATGAAAGGAAAAGAAAAATAACCTGGGAACGAAGGTGAGTAAAAGTGAAAAAGAACGAATGAAATAAAGGAAAAATAAATAGTGAATGAAGGTGAATGAAAGTGAAAAAGAACGAATGAAAGAAAAGGAAAAATAAATAGTGAATGAGGATGAAAGAAAGTAATAAAAAACGAATAAAAGAAAATGAAATGTGAATGAAGGTGAATGCAAGTGAGAAAGACCGAATGAAAAGTAAAAATAAATAGTGAATAAAAGGAAATAAATAATGAATGAAAGTGAAAAAGAACCCGTAAAAATAGATAATAGCACAAACAAACTAACAAAAAAAAGTGCGGGGGTGGAAAAAAAAAAAAAAAAAAAAAAAAAAAAAAAGAAGCAGAGCCTAATTCGAAGGCTCCAATCACTATATACCGAGGTTACCCGACCAGATGTTACCCGCTTCGTAAAATATGCCTCTGCCCTATTCTTTATAAACATTATTAGCCCAAATGACTTTTATGGCTATCTTTTCTCCCTTTTTTTCTCTATATAAATTTGTCCGCTGATTTGCATTGACTTGTTTGCTTGACGGCTATTGTATTATTTGTTGGTCCTGTTCTATTGGACTTTAGGTGACTGAGTTATGCTATGTGCCGGCTGGCAGTTATGTTAGATTTGTGGTAGTTGGCCGTCCAGCCATTTCTGACAATGTCACACATCCCACGTCTATAACATTAAATAACCTCTTAAAAAGAAAAAGAAGAAAAAAAATTACATTTTAACGACAGCTTGTTATTTTTTCGGTACAATTTACAAGCCATTTTTAAGGTAAATTATCCTCCCGACCATCAGAAGTTTTCCACAAGTAGACACACGCACACACACACAGAGACATATATATATATATATATATATATATATATATGTTTCTTTGATATATTGTGTCTACTTATTTTTATTCAGATTCTTTCCAGTTATCTAATCAGATTCTTGATGTTAAGATGAAATTCATCAACGAAGGCACCGTACTTTTTGTTAACCCAAGTCCTTTCGATCTTTTCAAAGGTCATATTCAGGGGTAAATTACAAAGACAAATTAATTGTAAGTAAGATAAAATCTGCATTTCGTTGTTGTGGTGATTTTTATAAATACGTACGAACGTGCTGCTACATGTAAACTTAAACAACAGATTTTTTAAAATATCTATGAAATATTTTATTTAAATATTTGATATTAAATATTTGTGAAATATTTTAAAATATTATTTAAAACAAATGTAATAAAGCACGTTTGCTCGTATTTTTAAAAATGACCACCAAGAGAATATGGATTTTATCGCAGTTACAATAAATTTGTCTTCGTACTTGATCCCTGAAGATGATCTCCGAAAAGATAAAAAATACGTGGCTTAACAAAAACTATGGCGCCTTTTTTGATAAACTTCATCTAAACTGGAAGGGATCAGTATAAAAATAAGTAAAAAACCCAAATGTCTATATTATTCAATGAAACATGTTTAAATGAAAATATGTTGCCTATATATATATATATATATTTAATTAATTCATTGAGTCTGATAGAAACCTCAACAGAATGCAGAAAGCACTGGACGGCCGTTTCGTCCTACGTTTAGATTATTGTTTAAGGTTGACGGACACGCATGTCTTAATTAGTTTTTTTGTTTTTTTTACGAATTAGTCAAACTCAAACAAAAACATTGTTTTCAATCGTTATGAGTCTACCGATTGAATAGAATTTTATTATAAACAATTGTCTTGTAAATGGAATTTTTAAAGCATTCTGAATGTAAAAATAAAGAAAACAGTGTGCAAGACAATAAGAAACACTTGTTGAAATCGGTTGAAAAATGTAGGAAATCCGATCCCATATCATAACGAAAACACACACACACACACACACACACACACACACACACACACACACACACACACAACCTGGGTTTTTTGCTTCTACAGAGAAATATCCCCAGTATTATTTTTATATACATTATATGACGTGTTCTGCGGAGGAGGGGCGTGTACAACATTTGATGATTTTGCGGTAATACATTCTTAAAGGTTTAGGCAGTTTTAGCCATAATTTCTTCACGTGGTTAAGGAAATTTAGATACGGTTACACTTAAGTAAAATTATAACAATAATAATATTTATGAAGAATTTATTACAGAAAATATCAAGTTTTACAGAAACATTGTTGATAAGTATGTATTTAGTTACATAACAAATAAATAAAAACAATATAAATTTGGAAGCTATATTCGATTTGTTTTTGGGTATTTTTGATTTTCTTCTTTGTTATTGGCAGCATTTTAGAATACTTTGACTGAAATGCAAACTTTCCTAAGTTAAACAAACTGAAGCTATTTCGCTTAAGCTTTGTTACCTCTCTTTTCCATTTTGTTTTTAGATCACTTTCTTCCAGTCATTTTGATGGGCAATAGAGTAATTCTACCTGCCAAAAAAAAAAGTGAAGTTATGTTGAAATCGGTTGAAAAATGTAGGAAATCCGATCCCATATATAAACGAACACACACACACACAAACAACCCGGGTTTTTATAATAAGTATAACTCGATATGAGTTGTCCCCCTTTCATCCTGGCGACAGATTTGTGTTTTAACGTGTTTTCAAATTGATTTTGTGCAAAAGCAATTGTGTTTTTTCAATTTTGGAGCTGTCAGAACCACCGCAAGGTCATTTTACGCAGTCCTGTGAAGTTTTGTTGAAATCGGTTGAAAAATGTAGGAAATCCGATCCAATATATAAACGTACAGACACACACACACACATTCTGCGTTTTATAATAAGTAAGATGATTGAATTCTATGTAAGGTATTGATTCAGGATGTGAACAATCATTGTTCTCCACAACTTACTCTGCTTTTTAGCTCTAAGCAATGTTTGCTTTTATATTTTTTCTAAATTTCCAGTTCCATTTGCAGTCATTCATTTACACACTCCTGTCCGTTTCGCTCCAGTTCGCTCGTCTATATGCTGTGTGTCAGATTCGCCGAGCCTTCTTTCCTCATTCTGTGTCCCCCAAATTTCTAGTGCCTCTTTTCCGATTCTATATATAAGTGTCCTTTTCATTTCCATTTTTCTTAAGACTTCCTTGTTATATTCTCCGTCCATGGTATTTTATGAATGTTCATTACTGTTGTAGCATACCTACGGATGATAATGGGTATGTCCCCATTCACATAAATACAGTAGTAAATACTGTATGTTAGTCTGCAGTTAGAGATTCATCTCCAGCTGTGCTGGTTGAAGACTCTGCTTCCGGGCAGAGAGGATCCCCAGACGAGGCGATGTCAAAGGGCAGAGTCTCGTCTCGGGAAACAGTTACCCGACCCCGTTTTATACGGGGTCTACGGAGAATTTTTGGCCGATCTTACGGGATCGGATACCCCACATTAAATTCGGCCTTGTGCCGCATCTGACTGTGTGGGGCGTTTGCTAGATATACCTACAGACGATAATGGGTATGTCTCCATTCACATAAATACAGTGGTAAATACTGTATGTTGGTCTGCAGTTAGAGATTCGTCTCCAGCTGTGCTGGTTGAAGACTCTGCTTCCGGGCAGAGAGGATCTCCAGACGAGGCTATGCGACAATTTCTGCGACTACATCACCCCTTACATCTAGCCATCTAACCCCCCAGACTGCAACCTCCTTGATTATTATGTGTGGGGTGCAATTGAGCATGAGACCAACAAAATTCCTTGTAACACCAAAGATGAACTGAAGGCAAAGATTATGGTAGCAATCACCGACTTAAACCAGGAGACCGTCCAGAAGAGTTGCAGGAGACTCCGAGTCATCAGGAGGCTGTGGTGATGTTATTGAATAAATATCACCAGTTATCACCAGTGGTGATGTTATTGAATAAATATACTCTTTACTATTTCAAGATATATTTGTGTAATTTTAGTAAATATATATGTTAAAATGTGTTACTTTCATTTCTGCAATTTAGACGACAATTTATCCATCGGATAGTTTTAAGTTATGCTATGTTTGTAGAGGAGGCACGGTGAAGTCATGGATAGCGGCTCGGATTGAGGAATCGAAGAGCCGAGTTCGAATTCCAGACGAATCCATTACATTCACTTACATGCTAATATCCTTGGGAAAGGTATGAATCCTCTTCTTCTGCCTCCAGCTATGGGTAAATAGCAAGACAGATTATTTTATTGTTGGTTGTTATTATTACGTTGTATTACAAACCTTACAGAGTGTTTGGGTGTCAATCTGAGGACAGTACAGAGGATTTGCAATGAGTTAGATGAGTGTAATGGTGATTACGAAGACGTTTGATGTGATCGCTCGTGATAGCGATGTTATGCCTCTATTCATCTTCCCACAGGATTTAAGAATCAACACGGATGCCTACATCAAGTGCCTTGTGGAGATAGTGCTGTCCTGGGTCAAGAGGCTGGTTGATGGAAGAACATATGTCTGATAACAGAACTCTACACCATGCCACACACGCAGAAGAAGAACCCAGTCATGTCTGTCAGACAATTTCTGCGACCACATCACCCTTTATATCTGGCCACCTAAGTCCCCAGACTGAAAACTCCTTGATTATGTGTAGGGCGCAGCTGATCGAGTGACCAACAAAACTCCTTGTAATACCAAAGACGAACCTAAGGCAAGGATTAGGGCTGCATTTACCAACTTAACAAGGAGACCGTCCAGAAGAGATGCAGGAGATTCCGAAGTCGTCTGGAGGCAGTGCTTAGTAGCCAATGCCGATGTTATAGAATAAATTTACCCATTAGTATTTCAAGATATTTTTTTGTAATTTTGTTAAATATATCTTCTAAAATGAGGTGACAGTGGTATTTTCATTTTTGCGTCATTTAGACGGCAATTAATCTATTGCATCCTCTATAAATACATGCATACATACATACATAAATATATATATATATATATATATATATATATATATATATATATATATATATATATACACATGGTAATTACTCCAATGAGCTGCTTTCACTGGTTCCCAGACTCCACGAATTCAAGCGCCCTACGAGGCTGGCATCCCGCTCCCACCCTTACACTGTAGAAACTTTTAAATGTAGCCGTCTCTTCTACTCCAATAGCTTCATACCTCACACCTCTCGCCTGTGGAACACCCTTCCCAATTACTGTTTCCCTGAGAGCTATAATCTCCAATTATTCAAATGTAATGTCAATCGACATCTCCAGTTACCTTGATCTACCTACTATCCTTCTCCTCATCCTTTCTTCTATCACTCCTATCTGCTCTCGCTCCAAATCTTCTGCAATCTCCTGCATCCTAGTGGCTTCACGCCTTGCTTGGGGCGTAATGCTTAAAAAAAATATATATATATATTGATGACTTTCATATATATATATATATATATATATATATATATATGTGTGTGTCTGTGTGTGTGTGTCTGTGTGTGTGTGTGTGTTTGTAAAAGAGAAAAGATAC